TATGGAAGACCACGTTTCGACATTTCCATCGAGGCCAATTTCATTAATTGGAATTCCATGAGTCACATGAACTACTGCAGAAATCCGGACGGAAGGGAGAGACCTTGGTGCTACGTCTCAGATCCTGCCATCAAAAGCGAAGAGTGCGAGATCCCCATGTGTGCCGACACTGGTAAGAGATTTAATTTCGAGGTTTGAGATGAACTGTATTTGAATTAGATTGATCAGTTCTCATAATCCGTGAGCCCGTGACGAGGCTGACCACTACACGGAATCATTGAATGATTGTCTATTTCATTCTTCACATACCAAATTGTCGATCAATGTTCTAAACCGATTATCGCCAGAGCCGAAACACGGCCACCGCCGTCTCAACACAGTTATAGTGGGGCTCCTTGTGTCTTCTCTTTGAGGACAAATAACTGCCTAGAATAGTGAAGCCCTGCACTACAATTATGACTAAAGTCGTTCAACCTTTCCACGGGAGAAAAGCAACATGCAACGAGAATCTCTTTTGTTTTGCTGTTAGTACCCCCTGAGTGCAAGATAACCGAAATGGGTGCCGAATACAGAGGAAGGAAGAACGTGACGATCACGGGCAAACCATGCCTTCCTTGGGCAAGCCAATCGATGTTCAATTCGTTCCCCGCTTCCATCGATCTCGACGCCCATCGCAACTTCTGTCGCAATCTAGACTTTGAGGTTTGCTATTCATTCGATGGAAGATTAATGCCTAATTCGAGTATGACAATAATGCATGGGGCGTATCTGGAGATGACTGAAGTGGCTACGAATGATTTCATGTTCATCTTGGTTGGGCGTGCATGAATCTCCCTTCTTCAATTTTGAACTAAACATTGGATAAAAGATGAAGCTAATAGGTCATAAACAGACATAGATGCAGATATGAACCATTCTACATGCCTGAATGGTGTTTTTTTCCATTTCGAAAGAATTGATATTCAAATATGAAGAGATTAGCAACAAACTGCTTGGGTAGCTTAATCTTGATTCATCCTAGCGATATGGAGATCTTATTATTTGATTTAAGAATATAATTGGGGGATATGAGCCGGAGGGGAATTGCCGACAGTTCCTATTCTTGCGCAACGCTTCTATTGCGAAAAGTGTACATGTTATGCGTGATTCGAGAAACAGCTTATTGTACAGTGGTTCCACCTATTTCATAAATTATGTAATATTGCGTTCCTTGAATGGAATGAGGATTTTTCCTGCAAAATACGTGCAATTGCCAAAAAATGCTGAAGATTGCAATTGACTTGAGAAATCAGCAAGTCGATTTGAAGCACAGTTTATTGAAAACATGCGGACATTTTGTGGAACAGATACGGATTACTTTTCAACGAACGGGACATTTAGGTTACTGATGAAGACAGCGAACAACCTAGAGAATCTAATTTGGGATTTTTTGGCGTAGGAAGTTCATCTCGTGTGATAAGTGACGCTGTTTTCGAAAAAATGTATCGCAAGGAAAGAAAGCTTGTTTTGTTTTCAGTACCGCAACTAAGGAAAAAATCATGAGGGAGCATGTAACTCATGAAGTTTCCAAAAAGATTCACTGGTTTCAGATACTACAACAGAATTCAATCGTTTGCTGTTTTGAATGCAAAAAGTACTACATTTCATCGATGCGCACACCAACAAGACTTTCAGAAAAATGTGCAATTCCAAGTTAATTATGCTTCATATCCCTTTGGTTGAATATGAATATCTGTAAATATGCATAAAAATGGTGCGCTGCATCTATTACCTTTTCATCACCGTTTTTTCTGCTTTTAAATTACTATGGAAACATAAATATTGGCCCCCCGGATCGAAATTCTGCTGCATGATTGTTGTACGGGACCTCTAGAAAGGGCATTGGACCCGATTGCTGGCTCTCTCGTGTCACGTGCGAGGCCAGAACTTAAGGTAAAAGGACAGGATTTACAAGCCTCTTTTTAAAAATCTGCACCTTCCCAGCCTTTTCTCCTGGAAACGTCCAATGTATTCCATTCTCTTCGGAACATACTGCGCTAAAAGGAAAAAATAATGCATGCATAGGACTATCGTGATCGAGACGCCATCACTGAGCATTTTTCCATCGCAGTTTCCCGTTTTTCCTCGCTCATTTCTTGTAGAAATTTGCTATCCACAAAAGCATTCTCCACTTTTTGGAAGGCCCAGGGATGAACGATATCGGGACTTGATGGCCACCACGGCACTGAATTCCGCTTCACAGAAGTACGATGTGGCAAAAGGTACGTCACTTGATATCACTACTGGACAGTTCTTTTCACTCCCACCCCGACACGGAGCCAGAAATCAGCAAATGAAAGATGAGAATTCAGAAGACTTCTGTCTGTGGAAAGTTCGATAAGCTGTTTTACTTCTCCTCCTGGTCAGTCTGTCTCTTCGGGACGACCCTGAAACGGGTTTCGAATCTAGTCAAGCTTCGATGAGTGGAGGTCTGGGAAGAAGGAGCGAAAACGATCTTGCAGACGACTGAGATGGGTAACAGTGACTTTTGTCGGAGACTGAATGATGATGTTCTCTGTAAGGATTCAAGGGAGACTTGGAAGGACTTTGAACTTATTTGCGTCTAGGCATGTCTTCCAAAAGCCTTTTTTCTTTTCAAATCCATTCATCATAAGTATGTGGATATCCTCACACTGCTGACCAGTGTTCAGCTCATTCAGCTTCAGGAAAAAGAAGCAGAGGTAGGCATAGAGACACATCGGGCGATCGTCGCTCAGAAAATCCACAAACTCCTGCTTTTCGCATTTTGTGAAATAGGGAAGTGCTTTTTCACGGAGCTCAAAGAAGCGCTAACATGCTTTGCCCCCGGAGAGCCAGCGTACCTCTGTGTGGTACAACAGAACATCATGCTCGGATCCCATCTCCTGACATGCGAGAGCGGAGAGGTTGCATTTTGATGTAGTTCACCGCTGAGACAACGGTCTGTAACACTGCATTCAACTCAGGATTAAGGGATTTGGCTGCCAGCTGCTTCGGTGAATTAAAAATTGGATTCACACTTAGAGGTGGCTGGGGCCATATTCTTCACTAAAGCATACAAACCACCTCAGTGCCTGGCCAATGAAGGAGCTCCATCGGTGCAGAATCCTACCAAGTTCTATAGGAACTTTCCTACAAGAAGCCTTGAAGCTCATCGAACATTGCTTAGGCCGACTCGTGGTCTGGGAGGGGCAGACAAAATAAATATTCGACAATGTTTGTCTTCCACAGTACCAGTCACCACCAGTAACACACATCCTACATTCAGTACCAGAGGTACTCCATGCTCAATCCATTTCTTCGCCGAGCTCTAAAAGGTCTTCACGAGAAGAATGGACTGCTCCCTGGGTTGATCGTTGTTTTCTTCGCCAAAAAATAAAGATGATAAATTTACCGGAAAAAAATAAAACTTTCAGAATGTCATACCTGAAAACTCTCTCACATGTCAAAGGTCAACTGACGAAGGGTTGTGGGAAAGGAAAGGGAATTATTACAAATACAGGAACGTTACCACGCCTGCCTATATTTTATAAATGCTTTCGCAGGAAGGGATAGTCGTCGACCAATACCCTTTTTGTACTGGAATGAATGCGATGAAAATGCCGCCCGAGAATAATAAGTCTAGCTTATTTTCCGACTTTTTACTCAATCGGGGAGAGAAACCAGAAGAGTTGCCATCCCAACTCATCAGAGATTTTGGATGCCTCGCATTTGGAAATTCTTAAGTGTCATATGTGAATGTCGAATGCTTTCAAGTGGAGGGCGGGTTGGAAAGAAATGAATTGGGAAGAAGGCGGCGAGCAGGGAATTTTTTATTTACTTAAAGGAAATAGTGCTACAGAGGTTTACTGGCGCCTCGCGTCTCCCATGCACGGGAAGAGATGTCTAGACAGGAAAAAAGGGCTAGAGAGAGGGAAAGAAGGATCTTACATTGTATGAAATTCTGTGCGGTCTTTTTGGCCCATCCTGTATTATCGTTGTTCTGAAGGTACTCGGTCCAAAGGGTGGAACTAATTCCACATCCCAATTAGGTCCGTGTTCATATCTCTCTGATTCAAAATATATGGAAATGTGCCTCTTTTATTTGGGAGATATTGAGGGCAACAAATATTGAAAGTCCTCCCTTACAAAAAAATATTATCATGTGGTGGAATTCACCCGTGAAATGTTATGTGTACATTACATAGCGATCTCTGAATCACCTTGGCATTTGCAGATCAGTCATGCGATTCCAAATATCTCTTTGGAAGAAGAGAATACTCCGCGGTATTACATAGGTCTGGTTTGGGTCAAGCTTTTAGGAATAATATGGTACAGTTATGATTCTGATAAGAGAAGGTGCTGCTTCCAACTCTGGAAGAAAGGAAATATACCTTTGAATATACAAGGTACTGTATTTCTATTGAGTGAGAGTGGTTTGAGTGAGTAGACACTCCCCATCCAAAGGAAGCAGATGGAGTCCTGCAGAATTTTAAGGCACGCCGAGCCTAGGACGAGTCTGAAACTTAAGTATATTGATGGGACTAGGGAGATGAATGACATAGGCCTAGGCCTGTGATATGACCATGAAGGCTTAAGATTAGATGTGAGATGGAGGTGTGCATTGCCTGCCATAGACCGAGGCTCAGACTAAGGGTTGGTCACCTATTCATATATGCACAATCTTATAACATAGTAGGCAGCCGTAACCCTAATTTACTGTCAGATTGGGCATGAACATTTT